GCTGCTCCCAAGTCCCAACTGCCCAACATAAAAATATAAAATAAATTCCTTGATTGTCATCACCGCCCGACTGAATTTTAAAATCCTCGTGAAAACGTTTTATTTTTCGTTATACAATATAAATGTACCGCCCGACAAAATAATTCAAGACAGTTAATTTTTTCATATTTTATATATCAGTTTGTATTGCCATTTTAAACTTCCAATTTGAAACAAACAGAATTTTGAGTGAAATTTCATTGTATTTTAAAGAAACTCAGTCATTCTATCATTGTTCGTGGAGATACGAACTATTGATATATAAATTATATAAATATAAAATATAAAAAATAAATCTCCCACTGTCTTTGACATTTCAAAGTGTAGACTGTGTCTAGTGATGAGAATCAAGGAATTTATTTTATGTGTTAATATAAACCGTTTAGCTGCCTTAAAACGTTGGTTTAATAAGCTCAAAATACAAAGCATGCAAGTCTATACTATAGATTCATCATCAGTCAACAACCAAAGTTTGGTACCAAACTGAAAGTATTGAACCTTATAGAAGGCATATTGTAAACACTGGACTGGACTTTGGACTGGACTTTGGACTTTGGACTTTGGACTATGGACTTTGGACTTTCGATTTTGAAATTATATTATTTTTTTAGATTTTCGTATAATTATATTAAAATCTAAACAGAGAACGAAATTTTGCTTCTGAAAAGCGTGCTACACTGCATGCACATGCATGATATAATAATATACAAGGTAAAAAATCTCTAGTATCAGTTATATAGGTATACCAGCAGTGCAATTTCATACGGATATAGCCTGTAGGATAGCAGAATTATCCAATATTTTGGGATTTAATATTTACATTTTATATAATATTTGTATTTATAGTATGCATATAGTACAGTATATACTGCAGAACTTCTTCTTTATCATATACTAATAGATTAATTGTCAGAAACAATTGTGACAAAAGTGTCTCGGCAAATACAAAAGTGATTATTATCGCGCCTATTGAGTATTGAGTATTGTGACTGTTCATCTTTGCATAATAGTTTATACTAGTACTGCAGTATTGTGTAATTGTTTACTCCGTTACACAGTAACGTTTTGTTAATGTTACTTATTTTTGAAAGACATTCTAGTTAGCTATCCATATCACTATAAGACTAAGTGCTTCAGTTATTATTAATAAGTGTTAGTAGATGGACAGGAATATTCGACAACGGAAATTTACACACTTTTAAGACCTACTCAGTTGTGTGTGAGAAGGCAAAAATCTATGTCTAGGCCTATGTGCTTCAGGTAGTCTAGCAACTATTTGCCACGTTTACCGTGTAATACTACCACTTGCAAGTGATGAACCAGGCGGGAATCGCGATCGTAGTATAAAGATTAATGCTCAGCCGCATAACGTACGCAAAAGAGCCATATATAGACAATAATATAGACATAAATATATACATAAAGTAATACTAATTACTATAGATTATCATAAAGTAATCAGTACTACCATATAATAATGTATCATACATTCGTATTTTATAAAGTATGATGACTATGAGAGTTTTCGTGTTCACTATGGCTGAATACATTTATGAAAAGCTAAAACTGACACAGACAAAATACATTGTAAACACAGCCTATTTAGGCAGGCGCTAAACCGGTGTAAACTATTATGCAAAGATTAACAATATACCGTCAATAGTATTTTTGCGCAAGTGAATAAATAGTACAACAAATCCTACAAGTTGTCAAGTTGATTGGTCAAATTTGACAAATTCCCTAGCCTCCTTCGCAGACATCAGAGAGAACGTACACAACTGGCGCCTGCGAGAGAGACTACAAATTCCCGGATAATCACGGCCTCGCCTTCGGCGAATAATTGTTCAAAGCCAAAGGCGCAATAATAATCGCGTGTAGTTTATACTTATACGTGATAGTTTCTCAATATTTTGTATTTGCAAAGCTACTTTTGTCGCAATTGTTTCTATAAATCTATTATATATACGATAAAGAAGAAGTTCTGCAGTATAAACTGTACTATACATACTATAAATACAAATATTATAATAAAATTTAAATATTATTAACTTAAAAATATTACTGAGATGATCCTGTTATCCCACAGGCTATATCTATGAAATTGCACTGGTATACCTATATAACTGACAGTATTTTTTACCTTTTACCGAATATTGTATCATGCACAAATTTTCGTTTTCTGTTTAGATTTTAATTAATATAATTATACGAATATTTTAAAAATATAATTTCAAAATCGAAAGTCCAAAGTCCAAAGTCCAAAGTCCATAGTCCAAAGTCCATAGTCCAAAGTCCAAAGTCCAGTCCAGTGTTTACAATATGCCATTATCATGGGCTTGGACATATTGAAACGTGCACGGAGGCACATCAAAACATGAAGGTTGCGCCAAAAATAGCGCCTTAAGGCTTTTCAATGTGACACGTCACATGAGCGGTGAAACATTTCAGTTTCCAACGGTAAACGCCCCGTTTCAAACGTAAACAAACGCGCGAAAATGTTTGCGGTTTGTGCTTGGACGAAAATGGCTGTAATTTTGTAATTAAAAGTGATATTTTTAGGCGATTTTCATTTGTAAGAATATTCTTAAAAAATTATCGTGTTACCATGACAACTACTTTAGATACTTCATGTCTGGAAAATACAACGGTTTTGTCAGCAAGGCGAGGGTTTCTGCATGCATGTATTTTCTAGTATGACAAGTAATACCTAAAAGTGTATACCTGCTGTGCAGTGTGCATTATGTTTGGTTGGGCCCTGCACTGAAATAGGGAAAACCGTGGGGCATGTGGCATATGCCGCTTCTGCCATATGGTTAATCTGGCACTGGTGTTTTGTCACCTGCATGGGGTTTCTTGACATAGTTGTTGAAATAGCACAACTGGAAACAACTGGCCATGGTAACCATGCTTTTGAAGCATAGATAATATATATAGATAGTATTAGAGATAATTTCATAAATAGCATGAAGTATATTTGTCTTCTAATGTCAGAATATGATCACACTGCCTATAGTTGCCTGACAATTTTACTTTTGTATCAATGAGTCGAGTCCATCAGGGGTTGAGGTTAAAGCAGGTTATTATTTCAAATTAACTTTGAATGATATCTTTTATATTTGTTCATATATTTCAATATTGAATAATAAATACACAGCACATTTTAAATCAATTTTGTAAGTTTTTCTAATTCAAAACTCAACTGCATTATACTGCATTGTAAAAATGGATTCACTCTACAGAAAGTTTTATTATAAAGGTTGCCTTCCAGTTTAACAAAATAATAAATTTAAAAAGTACAAATATATTTAGTAACAACAAAGACATGTATATATATTTTGTCGAGGGGTAAATTACTCTGAAAAAAGCGTACGAGGATTTTTGGGATTAGAAAATCCCGGCAATTTTTCTCGGGATTCTGGGATTTTTTTGGGATTTTTTTGGGATTTTTTTCAGCTGATTTTTTCGAAATATTTTCGCTTATTTTTTTCGCCGAACTTTTTCCGACATTTTTTGCGACATATAATCCGTCGAATTATTTTTAAAACGAAGTAAATCAACAAAGGACATTCTCACGCCAATTCACGATTTAAATGTTTATGTTCTGGCCACTATGGCCCCTAGATACTTTCTAGATAGACTTTAATATTATTCACTCGTTTCGCGATATTTTTCCGTAATCGCATCTCATTAATAGCGAGCCAGGGGGTTTTACCGGTTTTTTCTCTGGCTCGGTTCTCACGCCTGAGTGAGCATTCTTTTTTTACAAAAAAAAGCGAATAAAAGCATCGTTTAAACTTATTCGTCTGTTATACTACTGTTGAAGGGGACAAGGCCTTTCCCGAAGGAACAGAATAGTAAAAAAAGAGTCACTTTTCCGGCGTGTATACATCGAGAAAGACGAACTGACTTCGAAGATATCTTTGTAGCGTGCTCGAAAATCGCTACAAAACGGCTTCAACTACAGAAGAACACGACTGTTTTACAACGAACAGCTCAATGGCAGATAAAACCACCGTCGACAACCCCGAGGTAGGAACACTAGATACGTTTTTATCGCAAAATACGGCTGAAAATACGGTAGAAAACACGGGTCAAAACGAAATAAACAGTACTAAACCTGATAAAGCAAGCGCAGAAACGGACGAAAATACTCTGTCTGTCTCGACAAACGACCCATCCTCTCGTCCCAAAAGATCAGTAAAACCCACCGAAAAGTCTATCGAAAACAGGGTTCAATCCGATCATTCAAAGCTTGACAAATTGTACCCTGGATTCCAGAGCCTTCGACAGTAAATAATAAATTGAAATGTCGCGAAGGCTCTGGTTCAACTGGGCGATTCTTTGATTAAACCGCGCCAATCACAAAACAGAATTAGTGGTTGTAGTACAGAATCTGTACTAAAACCACTAATTCTGTTTTGTGATTGGCGTGGTTTAATCAAAGAATCGCCCCGTTGAACCAGAGCCTTCGCGACATTTCAATTTATTATTTACTGTCGAAGGCTCTGGAATCCAGGGTAGACAAATTGTGGCGAAACACGTCAACTGCTGTGGGCAAATTGCAAGAAGCACCCGATTCGCTAAATCAAATAAAATCCCATACATCAGAAGTACGTTCGCTATTTCACGAGTACCACGCCGTTTCTTTATCGCTCCTAGAGTTTCTCGCTAACCTCAGCGAGCCCAAACACCAAAAAGAATACGAAACATTGCAGAAACTCGTAAATAATCGTAGCGAGTACATTCATACAGTAATAAATGAAGCAAACGAGCGGAAAAAGGAACTTTTGCTTGAAATTAACTCTGTCCACCATTCCCGAATTTCTCGCAGCTCCGCAACACCCTCCACTGCCGCTCGAGCTCTTGCAAGAGCCGAGGCTACAGCGGCACTAAAGAAGGTAGAAATGCAAAAATGGCGATCATTGCGAGAGTCCCAGTCTGCCATGGAAATACAACAACAAGAACTTGCCCTAGCCCAAAAGAAAATGGAAGAGAAATCCCGAATGGAAAGTTTACTATTAGAAGAAGAAGCAGCAGTCGCCGTTGCTAAAGCTCAGGCAATAGATAAAGAACTGAGCCTCGTAGATCATCAAGATCCTGAACACTTTGACCTACCCCAAGACGATCCTGCGGAAAGGGTCCAAAACTATATAAATTCGCAACGCTTCGAAGAATCTAACATTGGCCAAGACTCTAGTCCCCCGGTTCCAAATCATGTCATCGGTCCACAACTCCCACAGAATACCAACCATCCTAATCGAGAAAAACCACCCAACCGAAGACTAGACCCGGCGGCCAACTCGTTTATCCCTCAACCACAGAACTCTCGGACAGACCCTAGTACAAATGCTATAAGCTCTTACATCCAATTCATGGCACGCAGAGAGCTTATCGCTAATAAGATTCAGAGATTTGACGATAATCCCAGAAATTTTTACGGTTGGAAAGAATCCTTCAAGAATATGATACGAGACATTCACCTCTCCCCTAGCGAAGAGCTATCACTCATCATAGAGTATACCAGCAACGAATCAAAGAAACTTGCTCAACGGCTTCGAAACGCATATATCAACAAACCCACAGAAGGCGTGGAGATACTATGGCAAAAACGTAGCCAGCGGTTTGGTTCTAACGCGGTTATAACTGAAGTACATTTAAACAAACTGAAAGATCTGCCGAAAATCGGATTTAGAGATAACAAGAAACTCCAAGAACTCGGAGATTTGCTCTTAGAATTACAGTGTGCTAAGAACGACGGCGGATACAGAGGCCTCAGAATCCTCGACGAGCCCGCTTACATTAAACCTGTCATTGCGAAGCTCCCTGGCGATATCCAAAGCAGATGGCAAAAGCACGCCTTTCGATATAAGAAACAACACGCCGAGGTGGACTACCCCCCATTTTCCGAGTTCGTCACCTTCATCCAGGAGTTGTCCCTCGAAAGAAACGATCCTAACCTGATCATAGAGATTCCCGAGAAGAAGAACACAGGTATGCGGAACCCGAGCTGGCGACAAGAAATTAGTGTAAACAAGACTGAGATCGAGGCCCAAGATCGCAGAGTCGGACACGATCTCCCACCTCGTAACCCTACGAACTGGTGCATTGTCCACCATAAAGGGCACCCATTAAGCAAATGTAGAGCCTTCAAAGCCATGCCACTCGATGAAAGAACCACAATACTAAGGGACCGGTCATTATTTATGGTGGGGGGTGGCACCGAAGAGAAAAGGGTTGGGTAAACTAAATTTTGAGTGAGTAAAAGGTTGGGTAAATGAAAAACAAAACAACTCAAGGGTTGGGTAATAAAAAAATATTGTCATTTCCAAAGCATGACTCACTGAAGTATTGGGTACTAAAAAGCAATGGCAACAGTAGGCCTTACTCTGGGGCGATAACGAGACAATGCGAGTTTAAGCAATTTTAGGTGATTTAAGCAAAATCTGCAATTTAAGCAATGCGAGTTTGAGCGATATAGGGCAATGTAAGAAAACAATTAGAATTTTAGGGAATGCTGTTTTAGGTGTTTAGAGGTAATTTCAGGAATATACAACTATATCCCTGATGACTCCAATGAAATTACCATTAACCTATGCCAAGCATCCAAACATGAGTGTTCCCACAAACACACATATGCAGTGTATGAAGCAAAATATACAATGTAACAAAAAAAAGTCGAAGTCTGCTTGAGGGGGTTCGGGAAACAAACAATACACTGTATGAGCATGACGATCAAGTGTTTAAAGGGTAAATAGGCTCAATATTCATGACTTTTTTTCATCCATTGTCTATTTCGAAGCCATTGGGGTATTATTAAATTCATGAGACAACTATAAATACATGACCACATGTTCACATCATATGCAACTGCAAACAATTTTCAAAGGAGTAGGGTACAAAATTGCAATATAACAACATATAAGTAAATTATACATGTCATGAACTTACCAGTTTCTGTTGAGTTAAATTTAAAAATTTTTATGACATCAAATATTATTTATTTATTTGCAAATCAAAACATTTTAAAATTCTTGTGTTTTGTTTTGTATTGCGCCCGCGATATATTAATGGTATTAACCGCTGTGAATATGATATACATTTTTAATACATTACATTTGCCCTCAAAAGTTCAGGAAGTGAGTTTCTAGAAAGGATGAAAACTCCGTTTTATATATGGTATGTAAAAGGTAATCATTGTTTACTGTTTACTGTTTATTTTGTATTCAGGTATGGGGAATTTAAGCGATGAGAGTTGCAAAACTTGCAAATGTAGTCTGACTAGTTTCTTTGACGTCATCATGCAACTATTTAATATTGTGCTACATTCATTATTCAATTTACAGTATTCGCAGCAATTGAATTAGCCTTCTATAACCATACAAATGATTATAGCTTATAGCCCACCTTGCCTTTAACATTGATCCTATATATAATGAATTAACATAACTAACTTGATTATGTTGCTAGTCGAGTATGGGACCTATGGGTCTTCTAGATCCTAGAGTAGCACAATTAATATAAAGTCTCCGTAAGGCAGTAATATTAAAGACTATTCTTATTTATGCATGACCTTCGACTATTAAGGGGCCAAAAATTGTGCCTACAGTAGTCAACTTATTCCACTATCCAGGTTGCATCACTTTTGATTGCAAAAGACCCAGGTTTATTATACATGGATTTGCTAGCA